CATACTAAATTTATTTTATTGCAGCAAGATTAAATAAAACAGTATTGTAAAACTTTTGCTGGTAAATGAGCCATTAGTACAGTAATAGATGTACAGTACTAATAACACTGGAATAAATTTTCGAATGAGAACCATTAAAAGAGATTTAAGAAGTGCATGTGCCATTAGTTTGGTTTAATTAAAAGAGAAAGGGAGGAGAACAGTTCTACTTTTCCAATATTTTTCAGAGGGCTTCTATGGGTAACCATTTGGCATAACCTAAGGTCAAAGAGGCTCTGATACCAACTTGTCACGCCCGGAATTTCTATCCAAAATTCCAAACGCTTACATGTGTGTGAACCCTCGTCCAGGAATCAGCCGAGGCACACAATAACAAATTGATAATAGAGTACAAATATTACTCTAATTGATAAGCGAATAGAATGTCATTACAGAGGTAGATAGTTCCTCTCAATCAATAAAGTTCTAAGCAGCGGAAATTAAATAAACGGCGCAGACGGCTCCACTCCACAGGCAGCTTGACCAAGGCTACACCTAATCCTCCACACCATCAGCCTCATTGTAGAACTCTTCCTCTGATGAATGATTGCAAGGTGAGTATATGACATACTCAGCAAGCCACGCAGCAAATATGCAAGTGCACAGGATAACAAAGGATGGCATAATAGGGTTCCATTTGCAAAAGCAGCATTTAGCAAACATTTGAGAATTTGATAAAACAGTTAAGTAATAATTAAGCAATATTAATCCAACGCTATACAACATACCCTGTTGTATAGGCCCAACCATTCTGAACAACCACCCCGGCTGCACAGTTCTATCTCCAAACCAGGAATGTACCATTCCAAACCAGGAGCTAATCAAATTATTACCAGTTATAGCATCTTTTATAATGATGAGAGGTGTGAGACTAATCACGAAAGACATTGTTAGACCCGCCCATAACCGCGGGCACGGCTATTCGAATAGTTTTACTCTGATCAGAGGTGTACCACTGTACCCACAAGACACAACCCCACATCATGTCACCATGTGCCTCAATACCACCACGGTATCTCGGAAAGGAGTTGTGACAATACCCCTCGCATAACACAATTCACTGCAGCGCACCTTCCTGGATCATAATCACCCCCTTATAAACAAGGCATGGACTCCCCAGCGACCCCCGTGGGCTTATCTCCGCCACTTCTCAGTCTGGTGCCCCGCAATGAACCATGCTATACAAAAGATAAAGCCGTTGCCCATGCTGGCTTGTGGTTGGCACGATAAATGTTTCACAACCGAAACTCGTGAACCGGTCCTTAATTGCCATGAGCACGACCATCAAAACCATGTGCTCACAACCCACCATTACCAGGTTTTAGTTGGCACATTAATTAATTAACTAATCACGATTGACCATCGTGAACTATCAATAAGCCATCATGAAATAATAGTGAATCATTAGTTATCCCATAAGTGTACTAATGTTTCTAAGCAGGGCTAAGCAATTATATCTAATATCTAGTTGAACCAATATAAATAAAGCTCAACTAGTCAAATTAATATAACCCAAGGTATCAAGGAATAAGGTAATCAATGTACAAAAGGGCCATAACAAAGAATAGGTCAATTCCACCCAATGACATTCGAAAATAGATGCAATAGTTGAATAGAAACAATAGCTTTAAATAGGATCAACATGCTCAAAGGGTTGTTTGGGATCTGTGTGACTTGCCTTGCTGGCCTTGGAACTCTTCAAACTCTTCTTCTGCAAAAACGGACTCTCCGGAAACGACGGAATCTAAGCAAAAAGAAGCAAAATCACCAAAACAGCACAAAAACAAGCATGAACAGTACATGTGGATATTTTTAATGTGTAGATCTCAATTTTAGAAAAATTTAGAGACTTGAACCAACTAAATCGGAGCTAAGATGAATTAGTTATGAATTTTTAAAGATTAAATCGGATTAAAACACTTAAATCGGTTTAAATTGAATTATGACGCAATAATGAATTATTTTTGAAAAGGAAAAGAGGATTTATTGCGTCAGCGGGCTAGGGTTTGGTGGACCGGGCGCACGGGCGACGGTTCACGCGAACGGACGGCCGAGATTGATCCGATCCAAATCGGACGGCCGAGATCGAACGAGTCCACGGCGGCTCACGGGAGAGGGGCTTGATGACGCCAGCGATGACGTCACCGACGGCGGCGGCGGCTCGGCAAAGAAGACGGCTCGGGCGGCGGACACTCGCCGGCGAACGGCGGCACTAGGACGCAAACGGAGGACACCAACGGGTAGCGGACGGCACGGCGAACTCACCGACGACCAAGGCGACGGCGGACGACCAACGGACGGCGACGGCGACGAGGAGGAAGCGGCGGCTACCTTCGGCTTGACGACGGCGACGATGCTCCGGCGGTCTCCGACGGCAGCGAAGGGGCGGACGAGGACGGCGGCGACTTGGCGATGACGACGGCGGCCTTCCCGAGTGACGGCGACGGCTGGAACGACGGCGGCGCACGGCTGGAGCGGCGGCGGCGACAGCGAAGCTAGGGCGCACGGCGCTAGGACGACTCCGGCGACGAGAGGCGAAGGCGAGGGTGGCGGCGAGAAGAGAAGAGCACGGGGATCCTTTTAAAGGGGCTCGGAGGCGGTGGCGAAGGCCCACGGCGACGGCAACGGCGAAGGAAACCTTCGGGAAGAACGAATCCGAGACGAACTCGAATCCAACTCATTCCAAACCGATTGAGCCAAAGATTCCAAAGGAGAAAAGGTAGAGGAGATCCCGGAGATCATTTCCCCTCTATTGATTCGGCCGGAGAAGGAAAGGAACGGCCGGATTGGAAAGGAAACAGCGGCGGCGGCTCGGCGGCGCGAAACTAGGGTTTCGGCCCGAGGAAGACGACGGGCCTGACAGGTGGGACCCACCTGTCAGCGGCTGCGAGGGCGCGCGCGCGCGCGGGCGGCTGCGGACTGGGCCGGACTGGGCCGAGAAGAGAGAGAAGGCGGTTTTGGGCCGACTTTCGGCCCAAAGCCAAAAGAAGACTTTTTAAAACTTTTTCAATTTAAATTATTTCTTAAATGCAATTCCATTTATTAAAAATACTTCCTTAGCTCAAATAAATCCCAGAAAAATCTAGGAATTATAGAATTAAGCAAAGTATTTAATGAAATTTTATCTGGCCACTTTTTATATTGGAATTTATTAATTAAACTTAGATTTTCTTTTCAAGACTTTTAAAATAAATTCTAGAAATTCCATTTAAACAACAATTTATATATTTTGAATTTTCAGGATGTGACAATCGGCCACCACCGCCTCCACGGGGACCTCGCCGTGGGCAGCCGCCATCGTCCGATGGCCGATGCGCTGCTCCTCCGACCTCACCCTCTTGCCTCGTCCAGCGGCGACGGTGGCGGCAGGGATAGGGCGACGTCGATGGTGACCTTGTTGGGGAAGCGGTGCAGGCGACGGCGAGGAAGGTGGAGGCCGAGGCAGAGTTATGACGGGGAGTGCCGTTGGCGAGTCTGCACATGCAGCGGCTCGTGTGGTCGCTAACGACACCTGCTCCTGCATCGTTGTCGCCACCAAAAGGCCCTTCCCAGCCCCCGTGTTCCCCTGCCGCGCCTCTTCTTCCCCTCCCCTCTCCACCTCTCTTCCTCTCTCCTCCCCTCTCCATGGGTGGCACTCGGCAGAGAGCAACTAGGCGTGGGCGGCCGGGAGAGGAGCTGCATGGCGGTAGCGGGCGACGTGGGTGTTCTTGGCGTGTAGAACGCCTTAGATGCATGCGAGCGGCGGGCGGCGGGGAGCAGCTGGGCTGGGCGGCGAGGAAGGAGCGGCGCGCGAGGGGCAAGGAGCAGTTGGGCGCGGGGGCGGGGGAAGGAGCTGCTTTGCCGCTGGCCGGCCGCGCCCACGCAGAGCCACTCCCCCGCCGGCTGCCTGTGGAGAGAAGAGGAGAGGAGAGAGTAAGAGAGGTGGAGAGGGGGAGGGGAAGAAGAGGCTGACGTGTGGGGCCCACGCTGAGTTGGCTGCCGCGTCGGACAAAATCAAAGTCAAAACCGTCGAGGGACATAGTTTGTACTGGTTTTTCTAAGTTTGGAGATGTGTTGTATCAGGTTTTACGATTTTGGAACTCGATGACAAGCTGGGGACCTTTGGTGTACTTTTTCCTTACGTGAATACAGCGCCTCCCCAATATTTCGGCTCGTATGCCTCTGCGACGATAGTAGTTTGTGGGCCGTTGCCCGACGTTACTCCGCATTGCTGCTCGGTTTCGTCCGGCCACGGGTATAGGTTAGCCTACAACTAAGAGCATCATTTGTGGCTGTGCTACCGAGCTGTTTTTTCATCGTATGAACAGTAGCACTGCAGCAGTGCGTACGATATAACTATACCATTACACAAAAACTTACACCACCCATCCATCTGCTGAGCAGAGTGCCATTTGTCGGATCTGGGTTATTCCCGAAAATCCAGCGAGGAAATGGATTAGTGCCCCCATATCTTTTCCTTGTTAGAGCAGGTTCAATACCAGGCTATAAGCCAGCTGCAAATACATTTTAAGGAATTAAATGAGGAGAGAGAAGAGCAGCGGGCTACAGATTTGTAGCCAGCTATAGCACGGACTCCAAGACGCAGTGTGTGTATGTCAGATGGGACCAGGTATTAATAGTGTAGTATGTAACTATTGTATAAATAAGCTATTAGATTGGCTATAGATGAATTGGAGCTAGTAGTTGGCTATACTATTGAACTTGCTCTTACGGCGATAAAACCTCACACGATGCTTGTGCCTCGCGTCATTAAGGAGTACTTCATCCATCCCAAAATAAAATAAACTTCTATTATAAATTTGGGGATATGTTAGATATACATATATCTAGATTTTTAATACTAAAATATAGTACTCTATATTCTTAAAATTAGTTTATTTTGACGCGGATTGAATACTAGAGTACACAGAAGAGTAGATCTCGTATCTTTTCTCCTCTCCTCTCCGGCCCGACGAACAAAAGACCGAAAGAGAGGCGAGCAGGAGTAGTCATGTGTACATTGGCCATCACATCAATCGTGCCGCTCGACGGCTCGACTCACAGGACACAAGTGACTGCAATAATAATACTATAATCATGACGGGTCCATCAATTTCTGCATCTCCGTCCCCCAAAAAAGCAAGTGACAGACAGCACAGCTCCACTCCATGGCTGCCGTAGAAATTTTTACTACAGTCATCAGGAGTAAAAGCACGGTCCCGGTGCCGTCGTCATCGCCACACGCGAAAGCAACAGCATCGCAGCTATGCGCAGCGGAAGATTGCATGCGCCAACGCCAGGCGGAGGCCGTTTGGCCGCCGCCTCCGCTGCTGCCGCCGCCGGTGGCACCACGGAAGCACGAGTATACTTCTCTTCGTTCCCCTGTGAGCCAAATCTCCTCTTCTGGCTTGGCTTTCCAAGTTCCCATGCTTGATCTGTAATTTTTTTTCTTATTTTCTTTTCTTATTTTCTTACTACAAGTAGTCAAGTGCTATCATGGATTTTGGATCTGGAAGCTCAGGCTAGTGCATGTGCATCTAGCAATACTAGTGCTAGCGCGGCTGCTCATGCAGCTGCTGATTTATCAAGAGAAAGCAAGGGCAAGTAACATCTTGATATTGGTGGTGGTCGATCGGTAGGTGCTGGGTCCTACTTGCCTAGTCGGCACTTCACTTGATGTTGTAAGCACGATGCATCAATTTATTTGTCTTTCATGTATGTGTTGATTTTTGTCTGAATTCGCCAACTTGAATTATCTAGAAAAGATGGTGAGTGATTGCATTTAATTGATATAATGCTCGTGTCAAATATGAATTAATCACTTTCTGCTAAAAAAATGTCAAATTTTGATCGTAAAGCATTGGTACTGGACCATTTCATGATTCAAAGTTGTAGCATCTTTCAGATCAGATACTATTATGCAATACCCTTTTTTTCTTCTCATGCCATTGACGAGTAGGTTCAGGCCCAATGTGCCAATGATTCGAGTGCATTGAGGTGGGGATCAACTCGTGAACACCGTATAAAGCTTGCAATGAGCTTTGCCTACATCGTTTCTCCCTTTCCAATTCGTTGCCCGGCCTGTAATCAGAGCACCAGGTTCATCGGCGCACAATTCAATTCAGACTCTCGTACATTCAGCACGTGTGAGCCACGCAGTGCTAATACTAGAGTTGGCGTGGTGCTCTTTACATGATTACTGCTGCTGTTTCGTGCGAACAAGCCCCCCCGAGCTTTTCCGTTGAAAAGGCGCTAATTAGCTCTGTCCTATCTGATAATATTCCTCTCAGCTTTGTGCTGATTGAATGGATTGAGATGCAGTCTGTCGAGCCGAGCCGGGCAGGAGTTCATGGGTAGGCGCCGCATGCTGTCCTGGGCGAGCCCCCATCGAATGATAGCATGAGGCCATCATCACTTGCGTGCTTAGTTAATAGAGGCTTAATCGCTTTTAGTGGGTATAAGCTGCAGGGAATGTCGCCTTGTCTTACCTAGCCGAAAAGACCAAGAGCTTACTAGCTTTAGCACGAATCCACGCGAGGAAGAAGTAGGCACTGCGCCCTGTTAGACTGACAGAGAAGAATAGAAAACCACTGTATATACTGTCAGAAGTTCCAAACTGTTAGTGAGTGTTGCTGTTTTGAACCATATGAGTTCAGAAGTTGAGTTTAGCGGCAGCTCTGCAACTGCAACGATTCTGGGAGCAGTAGATGGGAGCTTGAGAATTGAGATGCATTCTGAAATCAAGCGTCTTGCTTTGTTGTGTAAAACTGCTTTGCATGACCCGTCGGAACAAAACGTGATTACAGTGAAAAGAGAAGGATAAGCCAACGTACGTGGAGAGAAGAGGTAAACAGTGAGGATCTGATGATATACAGCACGAAGTACCGGCCCGGTAAACGAGAAGGGAATCCATATCTGTGGAGTCGCTTGTGCCGAATCCACCATCTGACATTCATGAAGACATCAATCACCTTGCGAGAGGCAGAAAGGGGAGGAGGCCGAGGAAAAAGATATCTCTCCAAGCACAAGCAGGTCACACCAGAGTACGGAGTACCAATCAGGTTTTAAAGAGAGCTGTCCTTCCATGCGCCATGATTCGACCCATCGGGTCTTACCAGAGCAGAGAAGCAGGATCCTTCGGAGACGACGACCCCGGTCACCTCTCACAAGTCACACCCCTTCCGACTGTTCCATGCTCCAATATGCACTACAGGTATTGCATCAATGGTTTAAGGGGCCTCTAGTTCTAGCCAGGGTTTAGGATTCTGACATGACCTTCCGTTTCGGGCACCGGCGAAATTCGGAATTTCACGAAATCCGGTGGAAAACCGGTAAATTTCGAACAAATTTTATAAACCAAAATTTGAATAAAATTTGAATACAAATCCTTGAGTTTGCTGACAAGTTCTCGAAAACCGGTCGGTTTTGGCGAAATTCCGATCGAAATCATCGAAATTCCGATCGGTAATTTGTTTCTTTTTTTTAATTCTTTATTCTTTTCTTTCCTGATGTAGCTTTTAGTAAATACACACAATACATCATTTTTTTTTCGAAAATTTATATCTCAATAGGTTCTATGAATATCATAGTATTTATAAGATTTTTTTATCAATTCAAATTTAAATTTGGATGAAATTCCTCGAAATCTCAGATGGTTTCTACTTTCGAGTCTCGTCGAAATGTCAAAATTTCGCGAAATCCGATCGGATTTCGTCGGAATCGTAAACCCTGGTTCTAGCCACGCAGCTTCCAGATTTCTCACCAGATATTCAGCCTTGTTCGGATTGTAGCCAAATAAACCTGACCAAATTTAACAATATTGCTAAGTTTTGGCTGGATTTCTTATGTGTTTACAAGAGTTTGGTAAGAAACTAAATGCCTTTTTTTAATAATTTGGTCCTTTTAAAAAACTTATTTCAAAACTAACCCTCGCCAAAAACTTCAACTAAAAATAGACCGTGGACTCAACACCAATCCTGTTGGTGCTAAGGTCCAACGTCTCAGCACCAAATAGTACAGCACTAAAATTTGCCACGCTAGCATAGTTGGTTGTGGACGTGGCATGGGTCAGCGCTTAAGTGTTTGGCGCTAACCCCATGTACGTAATAATTAGACATTGTGCTATTCTTTGTCATGATTTCTTCATAGTGCAGCGGTTTAACCGCTTTTTTTGGTTTTTCTCTGTTACCCATAGAAAAGTGAAAAAAAAAGGTGCAAGCTCAAGGTTCGAACCCAGGTCACCAAGTCAAGGGATGGGCTTCACCACTGCACTACATGATATCAAAATATACTTCACGTACTTAACAGGTATACGGGAGTCAACGCCAAATGCATTGGCGCTGACCCCACGCCATCTGTGGATCCATGTGGGCAAGGGTTCAACGCCAAAGGCACTAGCGCTGAGCCCACGGCCTATTTTTTGTTAAAGTTTTTGGCGAGGGTTAGTTTCAAAATAAGTTTTCTAAAAGGACTAAATTGTCAAAAAAAGGAACTAAATGGATGCACAATTTTGGTAACTTTACCAAAGGATGGTATGGTTTGAGATGACATCGATCTGAACAACCCATAGATTTTGTAGTTATAGAATGTGAGCAAAGTACATTTTGCACCCCTAAATTCTTATATTTGTCAAAAATACACTCCCCAACTACAAACCCAGGCATAATACACCTCTCAACTTTCAATGTTGAATACTTATTTCTACTCGAGTTGTTTTACCGTGGTTTTTGTACACGTGGGATGCTGCGTCACCCTTCATCACGTTAGCGCATAGGAAAATATAGGCCAAGCCCATATTGCTTGGTTGGTTCGTTTTGACCTAGCTTTTTCACAAGCAGCGATAACGGCGGCGTGGAGCTTCGAAGGCATCAGCGCTATGAACGTAGGGGATAGCAGGAGGCCTACTGGAAACGGTGCACGGCGGCGGGGAAGGAGCATCTCCAACAGGTTGTGGCGGTAGTCGGCGGAGGAGGTGTCATGGGGAAGGAGCAGATCCAAGACGTTGCGCACGGTCGCCAACCGAAGCAGCTGTATGCGGTCGCTAATAGAGAGGGCTGAGCACATAACAAGAATCTCCACACAGGGAGGAAACAAGGGCAAGTAGGTGGAATCCGTGAACGACGGAACAAGTAGATCGAGGGACATGACCAGCTTTGGAAATGGCAGCACGGGAAGGACTTTACGATCTGCATCGTAGTTCTCCAGACAAGGTAGAAGCAAGCCACCTCCAATTCGATACAGAGAGGGGACATTTGATTATTCTCTAGCTGTTATATGCGAGTGTGGTAGAAAGGTGGCAAGATGGATTTCATAGTGTGAATAATCAACATGGAAATACCTAACATGCGTAAGAGCTTAGGTAAGTTGGTAGAACAGGGAGGCCTCCTTTCAGCTGCGCCGGTCTCAGGCACCACCTATGCCGGCGGCGAGAACCCTACCGTCATTGCCGTGTGTCATCTCCTTGTCCACTTTACAGAACCATAAACAGGGAGAGAGAGAGAGAGAATGCATGTGACGGTGTGAGAGAGAAGGCAGGCCTACACGCTGTATTAAACTATTAATGTATTATTATATTTCATTCAATGTTGCGAAGGGCTAACGTGGCATCCCACGTGTAAAAAACCATAGCAAAACAACTCAAAGATGGTTAAGTGTCCAACATCGATAGTTGGGGGTGTATTATACTAGTTTTTTTTTTGGGTGTCAAATTTTCGGTATTAATATATTTCAAATATATATCCTAAGTATATGGAGTCATGTAACACTGGTAGAGAAACCATCTTTGGTCGGTCGATCCATATCCACAATAGTCCCGGTTCCATTAAAAACCGGGACTAAAAATGATTTTTAGTCCCGGTTGATTCCATGTCAGGCTGTGTCAGGGCCCTATGATCTTTAGTCCCGGTTAGTAACACCAACCGGGACTAAAAACCTATTTTTAGTCCCGGTTGGTGTTACTAACCGGGACTAAAGATCAAAACACACTATATAATCCATAGTACCGATCCTCTTTTCCCGTCCACACAACAAACTCCTCCCTCTATCTCTTTTTTTCCTCTCTAACTTCTTATCTCTTTCCTTATCTCTAACTCCCCTCCTCTCCTTCCTTTTTTCCTTCACCACAGTGCAGGCGGCCGGCGCGGAGGCGGCGACGCAGGGGACGGCGCGGAGGCGGCCTGCATGGCGGCCGGCGCGGCAGCGCGGGGGGCCGCGCGGCGGCGGCGGTGGGCGGCCGGCACGGCGGCGCGGGAGGCTGCGCGGAGGCGGCGGCTGCGGTGGGCGGCCGCTCGGCGGCAACCGGCGCGGCGCTGGCCGGCCGGCGCGGAGGGGAGGAGGGGAGGCGGCAGTGGCCGCCGGCCGGATTTTTTTTCTTTTTTTTTTGAGATGTGAATCTGTGATGTATTTTTGCGTGAGATGTGAATCTGTGATGAATTTTTTAGAACCCTGTGATGGAATTTTTTTAAGAGTTTGTAATGTATTTGGAGATGATTTGTTTGAGGATTTGGAGATGTTCTGTAATATGTGATGATTTGGATATGGGAGGGGATGGTGTGAAATCAATATTCAATATTAAAAGCAGAAAAAAAAAGAAAAAATATCTTTAGTCCCGGTTGGTGTTATCAACCGGGACTAAAGATGCTCCCATCTTTAGTCCCGGTTGGTAACACCAACCGGGACTAAAGATTGATTTTTAGTCCCGGTTATTTGAACCGGGACTAAAGATAGCGATCTTTAGTCCCGGATTCGTAGTCCCGGTTGAAAAACCGGGACTACAGGGGGGTTACGAACCGGGACTAAAAAGCATTTCTCCACCAGTGTAAGCATGACTGCATGAGTCCATCGTTACCGGTGCTTCCTCTTAACCCTGAGTATTATGATCAAAACATACCACTAAACAATGTGGACCAATTTGACTAGCTACTATCACAAAATAAAGAAGATACCAAACTTAGATGATTACAATATATTTTTAAATATATAACATTGTTAACTTTTACACATGACACTTAACCACTCATATTATTTAAAAATACAATAAATACTAATAACCATTTGTTTTATTGTGATGTGTTTTTATTAATTATTAAAGATATTTTGAACATGACCTATATTCCTTCATATTTGCACTAAATTTGTAATAACATGAATTATTAAATGTCATGTTAAAAATCAACAAAATAGAAAAAAAATAATATGTACTATGATTTTATTATAAAAGTTCTATTCATTAACTTGTACATTAGCATTGGGCATTCGCGGCCATTGGCTAGCTACCTGCGCCGCAATCTCAAGCGGTCACTGATCACAACTCAACAAAACACAAATTAAACAAACTTAAGTTGTGAAAATGCTAGCTGTGCATACGATTGTTATGCACGATTCTCGTACGATTACGATTGTTATGTACGATTCTCGTACGATTACTAACGGATGGTGAACCTTACTTGTTGCATCGCTAGGAAACAGCTGGACAACATCGTACTAGCTTCGTATGTGACATATCGTATGTATAGTAGCTCTCAATATTTACTAGGTATATACCTATATAGACAGACCCATATTCAGATTCATAAACATAATTTTTCATTGACTGGGTGTAATTGAGCTGTTTGGTGCACTCATTTAAAATGGAACATATAGCTAAGTGTTTCTTTATGAATCTAGTCTTTCCTTGCTCTATCTTGTTTTAACACTCCACGGGTTTCATATTTATACCCCCAATTTTGACAGTAAAATACAGGAAAATTAAGCTTACGAATAAATAAAGTGATTTACATAATAAATAAATAAAGTGATTAGAAAAACAACTTCGGAAAACAGATGTACTCCGGCAGTCCGGCATTCTGTCGGTCCCACATTATGGCAGAGACAAATGCATGAGAACAAAGACAATTGATGCAGTTCGATAATAATCATTACTATCACATAATCTTTCTGGATAATACAACACTGTTCACCGGTCATCCCTGCTCCTTCCTGATATCTGGATCTCCCTTCTTTCACTGGAGCCTGGAGGAGAAGGACCATCTGCCTCTAAGTCACCTGACTCTAGGTTCACTGACTCTAGGTTTGTAGCAAAAAGAACCTATATGTTAGTAACTCAAAATCACATAACTTATATGTTAGTAACTCAAAATCACATAACTTAAGTTAAAAGATCTTAATCATCTTTCGCTAGTACAATACCAATTGAGATCACCCATCACTGGATTAGAAAATGACGTCCTAGACCTTCTTGAGTACTGTTTACTAAAGAACTTACCATACTTTCTCTGTATATAGGAGTGATATCTTTAGATTAAGCTCGTTCGACTTAAATTATACGACTTTCAGTTACTGATATGTGAATCCTCTTTGCTATAGACCCATACGTCAGTGACACTAAACTCACATGATCGAACACCTCAGTCCAATAACTCCTAGGCACCAAACAAAGTGCCCAAAAAAACATAAAAGAAAGAAAAAATAATTCCATTTCAATCCCAGTTTCCATATGCATATTATTCCAGAACCACTCATACCGTCACACTACCTACTAAAGTACTACTAGCCTACAACAGGAAACAACAAAGCATGCAAGAACTGACACGATACAAGAAAACGTGAGAATGGGAGACGCTCGAGTGATCAAACTCTAAGGAGGTAGACGCTGAGCTCCGGGCCGCCATTGTTGTTGCTGCCGCTGCCGCCGCAGTCCGGGTTCATCATGTAGAACGCCTCGGAGTCGCGGGAGCCAACGACGCGCTCGAACCGCGCGCGCATGTACATGACGTCGCCCTCCCCGCCGCCGCACGCCGCCGGTATGACACCCGCGCCCATGGACACGGGCTCCAGCGCGCGCAGCACGCGCCAGTCCGCGGCGCCGCACTCGCGCCGCACCGCGTACCCGCAGCTCCTGCCGTTGCAGTACGCGCGCCACACCGTCTCCTCCACCAGCTTCCTGCCGCCGGCGCTGGAGGAGGAGGAGGAGGAGGAGGAGGAGGAGGGGGCCGCGGCGGCGGTGGGGAACGCGCAGGCGCCGCCGCCCTTGGCGCGCTCGCACTCGAGCGCGATGCGCACGAGGCCCGAGGCCATCTCGCGCACCAGCGACGCCGTGGGCGCGGCCAGCTCCAGGAGCAGCGCGGGGCACGCGCGCGGGTCCACCTGGAACGCGAGGTGGACGTGGCCGCGGCGGTGCCCGTAGAGCGTGCCGGTGAGCCGGGCGCCGAGCCCGACCTGGCGGTGCCGGCCGGCGAGGGCCGCGGCCAGCGCCGTGCGCAGGCGGGACACGGCCGTGCGTCCCTTCCTGCGCTGCTGCTGCGGCTGCTGCTGCTGCTGCTGCTTGAGCGGCTTGCAGGGCGGAGGGGACACGAAGTCCTCGGAGTGGAACGACGGGCAGGTGGAGGAGAAGGCCATGGTGGCCTCCTCGTCGTCCTCTGCCTTGATGAAGTCGTCCTCCCCTGCATTGCTGGCGCCATGGCTGCTGCTCTTGCCAAGAACTGGCCACTTGAAGTGCCTCCTGGAGAAGGAGAAGGATGACTCGTGAGGGCTCCTCGCCATGATGGTCCTCATCGTTTGTTGCTGAAGAGAGTGTGTGTGACCGCGGTGTGTTCTTTTCTACTACCCGTTTCCGAGTGGAAGAGGAGGCGGCGAGGAATGGAGGTTTTGTACTGCGGGGGGAGACTGGTGAGCAGAACCCACCAAACTGAGCAGACAGGAGAGGAGAGAAGAGAAGAGAAGAGAAGCGATGGGAGGAGTGTGAGAAACTCTTGGCTTTGTCTGCTACCTGGTCTGCTTCTGTTCTGTTTTGTTGTGTTTTTTTGATGAGGAAATGGAAGACAGGGTGCAGATTATAGCAGAGAGGGCATGGGCCAGGCAGTCGTGCAGGAGAAATGTGGCTCTACCATTCTTTTTTTTTTTCAACTTATGTACAATTCCATTTGATAAATGTTCAGTCAGTTGCTCACAGCTAGCTATACCTTCATCCCAAAATACACCTATGAAAATTCTTTTGCTATACAACCGAATAGGTTTAGTCTGTCGTAAACAGTAATATATTTGTTCATTTTAAGATCAAAAAGTAATAGTCAAGAAATATTTATGTTTCAAAATGAAGGTGGTTTTCTTGAAACCAAAATGGAGGTGGTAGGATATAGGATGGCGTGCTTGGCGCCATGGCCTGATGGTTGCCAAGTGACTTAAATTTTGGATATAATGTTTTTCATTAATATGGGAAAAAATAGTTCAGGCATGAAGTACCTTTAACTATAAAACAAACCACAACAAAATAAATAACTTGTACTCATTTTTTTAAAAAAAGATGAATAGTAACATCATGACCAAAAGTCAATAACTTGTATATTTAAATTCGTAATTATTACTCCTTCAGTAAACTTTTGAATTTAGGGTCGCCAATTTTTATATATCAATTTTTACATCTACTTCATCCTTTCAAGCAATCGCAATCATCGCATGTTCAATTTCTTCACTTATTCTCTCGTCTCAACCAATCATAACCATTTCCCATTTAATTTCACATATTTTTTTAATATAGTTGTGACATTATATAAAACATACTATTATATTTTTCAATAATAAGTTTATGAAATCTAGTAAATTTTGCTATTATGCTACTTTTTGAGGCAAATATATGCACATAATTCTTTTTAAACCGAGTATTTGATAAGTCCGATGGAATTGGTAGTCGTAGACTCGTAGGCTCACTTATCTCTTTCTACCATAATAATTGTATTTCTACAATTCAAATTTATCCCAAAATAGTTATCACAATAGAGTACTAGTTGTCCCATCAATTACTTCTCATTCAAATTTCTTTCTATTCTACCCTCAACCACTCTTCCACTCTTACTTATACACCATTTAATGAGGGACATCATAGTCTTTCTTTTCAAACCTTATGAGGGAGGCTAAATAACCTAGAATTACAATTATTTTGGGAGGGAGGCAGTATTAGTTTTTCTTTGCGATGACCTGTCCTTATTGAACATCCATCCTATATCTATTCCTCAATAAGCGGACCGTAGAAGCTTGGGGGTATCCACTTGGGAGATGAGACCGATAATAATTTTTTTTACTAAATACTACTCCCTCCATTCTAAAATATAGTAAGTTTTAGCCTTTGACACAATTATTAAGGAGAGAGGTAAAAAAAACTTGGTTATTCCCTCGGAGTGTATGAGGTGCATGCTTGGACTAGCTGGGGCTATAATAAAGCTAAATGATACTCCCTCTGGCCCATAATACAAGGAAGTTTGATATTTTGTTTGCACTGTTTGACCACTTATCTTATTTAAAAAAATTGTGCAAATATAAAATCCAAAAGTTGTGCTTAAAATACTTTGGATAATAAAGTAGGTCACAAATAAAATAAATAATAATTTCAAATTTTTTTAAATAAGATGAGTGGTCAAACAGTGCAAGCAAAATGTCAAAATCCCTTATATTATAGGCGGAAGGAGTAGTGGATGAATATGGGTAGTTTATAGTGGTAAAACTCACCTTTTATGAGTACTAGCTTGGTATATTTAGGACCAAATTTAAAATCTACATGTTATATTTGAGACAGATTGAATAGCTAAATGCCCAAAAAATATTTAGTTTTTGTAAAATGTTTAATCACGTGTTTGTTTATTTAATTATATGATATTCATTTAACTTGTTTGAATCAAATAGTGAGACATTCTCTAAATATTAGAGAATAGTATGACCAATTTGAAAAAACTGTAAAGCCGCACAATGGAGGATGGGATGTTAGATTTACTGTCACCAGTCTTTTGAAGTTGTATAGATATTGCAATAACATAAAATATTTATGACTGGAGGGAATAATATATTATGAGTCGAAGTGCTAAGTTTAGTGATATCTTATAGGACTTTCCAGGCATTTCGACGATGTATATAAACGGACATCCCATGGAAGGTATTAACGGATCGATTTTGTCGTGAGCATATATATATATATGTTGCCTAATGTCATGGGATGAACTCATGAACATGCAGTGACTAGGAATTAAATTTAAAATTATACTGTTCACTCAATTTTTTCTCAAAAATATTCGGGATGCAAAAACTTGTGCAGAAATATACCATCGGTGTCGCACTTCTGTTACGCGAAAATGATATGACGATGACGTTGCGGGCGGTATCGCGTGGCGAAAGCGCGAGACCGCACGGTCTCGCGCACGATCTCGCGGAATGGAAGAGCGAGACCATTCGGTCGGTCTCGCAGAAGCAATCAGCGACACTGACCAATGAGATCCATTTGATTAGTAATTAATTACTTAATTAACAATTAACTAATAATAATTAGTGATTAATTATTCTGATTAGTGATTAATCGCTAACTAGGATAATTAACCGCTAATTAAATCGGCAAGGCACGGTATCGCTATTTGCTTGAGCGATAGCGTTGATTGCTTGCGGTATCGCTGTTTGCTTGAGCGACTTTCACTGTGTGATACAAGTCACGACGTCATTTTCACGTTATTTTCATGCAATGGTTGTGTGAGACCGATAGTATATTTGTGCAAAAGATTTTGCATCCCGAATATTTTTTTAAAAAAAATTGAATGGACAATATGTTTTCATATTTAATTCGTGAAAATGCCTAGTGCCCCGGGCTACGAATGGGAATAACCGTAAAATCTTTGAGCTCCAGATAGTTCATTTGCCTCGCATAATTGATTTGACTAATCGGACCCACTGTTTTAGTTGGAGTGTTGAATCTGAATAGGCTGTTTTTTTTCCTGTATCGCGCACTCGTGCTGTATTGCTGTCCCCTTCTGCAGAAAGTGGTTTTTTTTTTCATATGTTTATCCTACTTTACTTTAATAAGTTACAACATACTCCGTAGTATAAATTCTAAAGCTTAGTATGTAAAAATATCACATTATCATCCATTAATAATTATTATATCTTAAATATTATGTAAGCATGCTAGTATAATTTTATTACAGTAACGTCGTCAGTGACGAGTAATATATTAAGTCAGTGATGAGTAGTGAGCGAATGCTACAGATTGTGATTTGTGAGTACCGTGTCGCCAGGTTGACTGCTCGTTAATCTGTGGACACCACACACGAAACATGGCAACAACCAATGAACCGGGCAAGAATTTAGGTGAATTCCAGGTGAGCATCGAGTGACTAAACTCAATTAGTTGGTGGATCACTGCTGACTTCGATTAGAATAGTTGCTTCTCACCGGTAGCTAATTCTGCATGGTGTCTTGAAGTGGACTGAAAGTCTGAAACTATAGTACTCTACCAGATACTCCTACCAAATATCGTTCTCAGCAAAGGCTTAAACTAAAGTGATCCCCCTTGGAATTTCAAAGGCATGCGCATGCATGCTGAGTTCTACCTACCCGTGTCTCAAGGCCCAAATGCCTCCAAGCTGCCTCCTTGAGACCTTGAATACCTTGATAGTCTTGAGAATAGGATAAGCAGGGAAAGTACAATAGGACAGAGCTTTTGTCCCCACAATGACGAATTGACGATCAAATTGTGATTGCAAGGCAGCTGACGTCGATTGCTAGCACAATTTTGCACAGGTAAAGGCGTAAAATGCCATGAAAAACATGGATTGCTCGGGACACCCTGTTGGGTAGAGATTGGAGTAGAATGAAGAAGGAAGAACCACGTAGACGACGATGATAAGGATGGAGAATGAAGTTAGGCAAGGAGAGGGACAGAGGCCGGTGTGATTTTCAACCCTCGGGATTGGTACGGTGGACAGTATAGGACGCGAGGGTAAACAAAGCTAAAGTTGGAGCTTTGACCATGGAGGCACCGGAGGTTTCCTGGTTTGGGAGAGGAGGCGATGACTCAACAACTGTACCAGGAACCCTCTACAGTACATTTAGTATGTTTGGTACGATATAATAGAAAAGTTGTGTGTATAAGATTTGATGTAATGGAAATGTAGAAGTTTAGAAAAAAAAAAACTTTAGAACTAAATAGGGCCATTGCTGCATTGCTAGTGGAGGTCTCCCTACTCCCTAGCCCACTGCTCCTCTGTCACTCTGCCCACTGGAGGAGTAGTAGTATACTGTAGCAGGTGTAGCACTGATATGACAGCTGATGGCTGCTTCCTGGGAGCCGGAGGCCGGAGCCATTGAGGAAGCGAGTCTTTGCCCGTTGTGTAATCTGCGCTCTCACCTTGACCTCAATCCTCATCCTCACGGACACAGGAAGCGAGTATAGGTACATCAACGGGGGATTCATCGGAGATGGGAGGCGTATCGTGTGATACCCACAGACCACAATACTACAGTACTAGGTATGGCAGGATTAAATTGTTCGTGCAGTTGCGGTACAATGGGATCGTTTGCTACTAGGTTAATTGAGTGCAGTTAGCTAAAGGACGGGCGAGGTTTACCGTGGCCTCGCCGGGGGGATTAAATTCCCCTGTTCCAAACAGGACAATAAAACTACTCTCGTGATTTATTTTGGTTAGGACAATAAAAATCTTGAAAAAATCAACATCAAGTTACCTCTCTCTCCGTCCTATAATAAGTTCATTTTAGCTCCTCCTATAGGGGTGGAAACGATCGGAAATGGTAGAAATCGGTAGCATCTCTTCAGAAACGATGCTCGATCAGCCGGTAATTGACTATATTTATCATTTAAACTACTCAGTATCGACATTAATACGATGCAGAGAGAAATTAGAAAAAACAAAATTTAAAAATAGCCAAAAACGGTATGGTCGGAAACGGTACCCCTTAAACGGAAACGGCGCCCGATCGATCGGTAATTTCCGTGACCGTTTTCACCCCTACTCCTATATATTCCGAATAAGTTTATTTTTAAGTAATCATCACATCAGAGTTTATGAAAATAGAGAATAATTATATCAAGTGTAAATGAAAATGAGAAATCATTATATCGGGAGTTGATAAAATAGGGATATTCTAGTCTTTTTGAATTTGTATCGGTAT